AATTTTATCCTTCCCTCCGGGGATGGCAGAACTACAGCTTAAGGCAGTTGAGGTCTCTTTCCTTTTGACCTAGAAGCCAAGGTCAAATCACCCTCATTGCTGGGAGAAGCCTGTCTACTTCTCTGTATGAGACAACATGGCATATTACTTATGAAGAAAGGAAAGAAAACCACAAAGTTTACAATTTAAAACCCAGAATAACTTCCTGTTCTTGAATTATGTCAGCTCTGTGAACTAAAGCCAACCAGGTACCAACCTGCATTATGCTCACAGTGCAGTCAGAAATGTTTGGGTAGATCCCTTTTGAGAGTGATACAAGAATAACCAGTCACAACATTTTAAATAAGGGAAGATACAAAGGTAGCACAAAACTGCCCCAGTGAGAGACCAGATCTTCAGAGTTGTCCTGGGTACATCAGTCATAATAAGCTGCTGCTTATTAACATTTTTTTGGAAGAAAAGCTTTCTCATTAGGTATCCTCTGTGCTCCTGTCAGCCCCTGAATGAGAAGGCAAATGTCAGACATATATCACAAAATGTTCAGACAAGAATTGCTGAAGGTAAGGAAGCAGCAGTAATTTATTATCACAAGCTATTTCCTTTACAATGATCAGAAAACAAGAATTTTGGTCTGGGCTCTGAAAACCAGTAAAGGAAAAAAAGATGAACCCACCGAAGATTTTTTTTGTTCAAGATCTTTCTTGGCTTCATAGCACAGGTCTTTGGCATGTAAAAGTTAGAGGTGGTTGGCCATACTTTTGATGCTTTTGCACTGATAGATTCTACATGACTTTGAAGTATGCATTTATTAATTACATACATGCAAATAAATTCACATACATATATTTGAGTGCTTTTTTGAAGGTATATTAGTTTCTTTTTATTTGAATGGCTACATAGTTCAAACAGTTGTAGATGGAGAAGGTCTAACTGGGGTGAATGTTAAATGACCATGCACATCATGGAATCTTTCTCAGACTAATGACCAAGTATTTATGATTTTTTTTTAAGAGCCTGATAGTAAATACTCTGCAATGAATTTTGAATGTTAAAGCAACACTGACCTTACTATAATACTCTATTATTGCAACTTTGCTCCGCAGTCAGGTGGCATGCTTTAGTGTGAGGTGTCCCTGCCCATGGCAGGGGGGTTGGAACTAGATGATCTTAATGTCCTTTCCAACCCTAACTATTCTATGATTCTATGATATACTTCAGGGCAAATCAGGAAGTGCACAAATTAGATTCTACTCTATCAGAATCAATTCATCATGCATATGTCACAGCCTGATGATATCACTATAAGATTAATAACCACAACATTAATTTAGAATTTACATTTATCAGTGTAACAATAATTGTGCAGTCATCCCAGATTTTTATTTTGATTTTTTTGGTTTGATCACATCCAGTTTTCAACAAGGGCCAGGGCATACATTGTGTGCTCTATATCATGGGATATCTTGAGGTAGAGGAATAAAATATTTTATAAAATGTCCACTTCCTCTACTCTCCATTTGTATTTTATTTTAAAAATCTGCAAGCTAAACAAGTGAGCACCACCACCTACTATACTTATACAAAGCCAGTATAGCCTATTATTTATAAATTATGACATACTTCAATATTAGACTTCAAACGACTCATAGTGATTGAAGATCTAGTGTGGAAAGCATTATAAGAATAAATTATTTTGCAATTATATTACTTAATAGCTACAGGGAAATATCTATGTCTAATGTTAATCTTTTAACGATGAAGAAAATGAAGAGGAGTACAGGCATAAGTGTACAATGGATCAAGTTAATTTTTGAAGCAAGTCTAATGAAGTTAAAAGACTACAAACTAGGAATTTAGGTAATTGAATAGAGTGGTCAAGCAGTGTTGCATGGTTATGATGCGCTCTTACTTCTAATAATTACTTTTGAGGATAAATACACTTGTCTGTAAAACTAGACGTATGCATTAAGGGAGACAAAGGGAGTAAGCTGGAAAAGATTGGAAATGATAGTCAGTGGATTAAGGGCTGTGTTCAGAAGGATAACAGCCTTTTTCCTGGGCTCCCCACACCTTCTGCAACAGGTATTTCATACATAACATACCAATGTGGGAGACTGCACACAATAAGTGCATTTTCACAGATTTCATAACCAGTACAGTAATTCTCCTGCTGAACTGGATGTTTAAAGTAATATTTTGAAAGGAGAGCAGTTAGAGCTATTTCAGATGAGACTGAGAGATGAGAGCAATATAAAACTTGGTTAAGCCAGACAACTAAAAATAACCATTCTGAAGTGTAGTGTTAGCACAGTGCTAATAAAATCAATGCATTTGCAAAATCCCGCTTTGAATTTTTGAAGCTCCATGAAGTTTTTTTTTTTCAATTCTAACAGCTTCTAACAAAAGCCTTTCACAGAAACTAAATTAGAAAGACTCAACTGATGAAACTTTCAAGATTAAACTTTGCCTTCTCACGAAAGTATGATTAAACAATCTGCTACCTGAAACTCAGAACACACCCATGCAAAAAAGGCTAGTGACAGACCCAAAAAGGACTTGATATTTTTCCTTGGAATCTGTGTGTTGGCAGAGCACTTCTGCTTTTTATGCTTACATCAAGTCCTTTATTTATAAGAAATAGATAAATTTCCCAACAATTTTCTATTTTTTTTTTTTGCTTAAGTTATAACTTTACTTTGATTCCAATCTCTTTCTTTGGCTCTTCCTCTGTTAATTTAAAATTTCTTCCCATCTGTGGTGTTTAATAATTAAGTTTTTCTTTCAGATATTTTATAGATCGCAAAAGAAAAGAGAAAGGAATAGCTTTGCAGAGTGACTACCAGGAGAGACTATGCTGTCCGTCATCACATTTGCAATACACAAAAAATGCATGCCAATTATTTTTTGGCTGGACATACAGTCTGTTCCTATGCCCAAGAAATGGAAATTACCTTTGGTGCAGGCTGTGAAAGATATTAGTGTTTCCCTTACAAATCCGCTTTTTGGGTATAATGTATAACTTCTCAGTTGTGCATTTGCTGAAACACAGCATCCTTGTTTTCTTCTAGGAATGTATTTTTAAACAGACTTTCCCTGGATGTCATTGGATTAGGAAGTCAGTACCCCCAGTTAGGGGCAAGTGATTATCTATCATCCTTCTTTGCTTCCATTTTTGTGTAGTAATCAAGTCACATTTTTAAGGGCTTGTGGTTTAACCCCAGTGGGCAACTAAGAGCTAAGTCCCACATAGCTGCGTACTCATCTTCCCTTGGTGGGATGGGAGAAAGTTAAAAGTGAGAAAACTCATGGGTTCAGATAAAGGCAGTTTATAGGTAAAGCAAAAGCTGTGCACACGAACAGAGCAAGGAATTCATTTCCTGCTTCCCATCAGCTGTCAGGTGTTCAGGCATCTCCAGGAAAGCAGACTCCATCACACATAATGGTGACTTGGGAAGACAGACACCATCACTTCAAATGTCTTCCGCCTTTCCTCTTCTCCCCCCCAGCTTTATATGCTAGGTTATTTCATATATAACATCATATGGTATGGGATATCCCTTGGATCAGTTGGAGTCAGCTGTCCTAGTTGTGTCCTCTCTCAACTCCCTGTGCACCCTCAGTCTACTTGATGATGGGGTGCGGTGAGGAGAGGAGCAGAAAGGCCTTGGCTCTGTGTAAGCACTGCTCAGCAATAATGAAAACATTCCTGAATTATCAACACTGTTTCCAGCACAAATCCAAAACACAGCCCCATACCGGCTATTCAGCCCAAACTAGCACTGAGCTGTCAAAACAGAAAATGGACTTTTATTTCAGCTGGTATCAGATTTTCATCCATGTGATGAAATATCACCCTTTTGTTTAGTCCATGTGTCTCTCTTTTTATTCATTGGCCTGAAGATTTTGGCAGTAAGCAGGATGCAGAATTGTATATTTAATAAGGCAAAGTTGCCTAAGATGCAGACGTTAATAACCATTTGGAAATAGTAAGATTGTGTGGCTAATATTAAAAAAGTAACAATCTGGCTCCTTAAATGCCAGTAAAAATATGACTGTTGGCTTCAAAGAACTTTGAACAATTTTGCAAACAAAACAACATGGGCTGCATTAACACTCCATTAAGCAGTTTTCTTCCCCTGCCTTTCCCTGACTTTAATTAGAGCACTAGATTTCAGAGATAACAGCATCAAGAACGTTAAAATGACCAGGGCCTTACCAACTTTGTTCTTTCAAATGAAACTATACAATAGGCTGCCGTCTAGGTAAACTAGACCCATTTTCAATTTTTACTTAAACTCCTGTGGATTCTGTAATGCAGTCCTTGGGTATGTACTTGACTGGGATTGTACAATTCCTTTCTCCTTTTTTCACTGTTAATGAAAAAAACAATCAGATCGCAAGTCTTTCTACCTGTTACTGGGACATGACTGCACCCCTCCTGCTGCAAAAGGTGTTTATATAGGTGCACTGAACAAGGTGATTTAAAAAAACCCTAAAAAACAAAACCAAAACCCATCCAGAGATGGCTGCAACCCACTGGCAGTGTTGAGGATGGCCCTGCCCATCGATGAGGATGGCCCTGTCCAACATTTAGTCGTTGATGGAAAAAAGGAGAGACCAGGACAGGCAGTGCATGCAGAGGAGCACACAATCTCTGACAGTCACCTGGCACTGCGTATTTGCTCCCTAGTACTTACCGACATCTTTGGTCCTATAGCTGGGCAGAAAATAGTGGGATTCGTAGTGGGACTAATAGGAATGGGACAATGTAAGGAACATAAGCAAAAAAGACTGAGGACTTTAGCCTTTTCTAGTAAGTCTGTCTGGAAGAGCTATTCAGTGTCTCTACAGGTTTGTTCTTAAAGACGAAATTATCTTCTATATAGTAACTGGGTTTTAGAAGCTTTATGTATGATGTCATGCCCAAAATAAAGGTACCATTTTCCCATACTAGAGGCATATTATGAAACTGCTTTTATTCGGTATGATACAATACTTACCTGTAAGACCAGCAGCTTCTGCTGACAAGAAGGCACTCCAGGACAGGAGGAAAAACAGACCTGTTTCCAACATAGGAAATTCACACAGCTTTGTAAATTTTGTCAAGTGCTAAAAGATTACTAAGGAAGAATAAAATCCCAAATGTTTTGTAAGTGAAAATTGCCCCCAACCTGATAAAGGATGAAAGAAAGCAAGCTACCCCCCTACACCACCTATCTGTGTTGAGTTCAGGAAAAACTGCACACCTTCTAAATTATCTTAAAGAGGAAAATCCAGTGGAGGTTTTAAACAGGTGAATTCTAAAAGTCAGCTATTTCAAGTACTTTTGTGAGTTTTGAATTAATGCGTCACTGGTTGCATTTGATATTCTTTGCACAGGAAAAAGGGAAAAGTAAGTAATTTTTTTCCAGTTTTGTAAACGAATTGGCATTTATTTACCTTTGCATCAATGCAAGAAACATGAAAATCACTGCTCTTTCTACAGTTGTATTTTACAGTAAAAATGCAGGACAACAGATATGCCTTTTATTTCTAACTTAGATAAACTGACAATCTGGATTTGTAGTCTAGTGTTTTAACCTCAAAGTACTTCAAAACACTTCCCTAAAAATTTAATTATTTAGAAATAGCAAAATAAAGACCAGAGTCTTGCCTAATGTTGAAAAAAAAATTCTTTGTGGCTTCTGACAAATGAACTTTCCTGGCAATTTATGATTTCATGATTTGTTTGAGAAGTCTTGAATCACCAGAGGAAAGGTTAAGGCTCAAACTAAGGATGTTCAGTCTTAGATATCACACATTTTTTTGAGCATCTATAGATTTTCTCTCTGAAAACAAACCATAAAGGATATTAAAGCTGTGACAATAGCATAAGAAGATCCCATGGCAAATGATCCAGCAAAGATTCCCAGGAAATTTCCCACTGACTGGAAGAAAGCAGCAGCATCAAATGTGTTAGGATTCTCCTTAGGACTGTAAATGGATATGGAGCTGAAAAGAAAATGAAGGGATGGGGGAGAGGGAGAGAAAAGGGAATAATTAAGTCAATCACATTGCTATGATTTTGGAATGAATAATTGAAAATGGACATCTTAGGGACTCAAAATGCAAAACAAGGCATCTCTCAAGGCTTCTTGTCTCTCTTAATGCATAATGGCAGATTTGAGAGCGAAGCAGATGGAGACTAGGGGGGTGGATGGACCAGTTTATTTTCAAGGTATCACAGTGGAAATCAGTAATCTATTGCCAGTCAGTAAACATTTTTGTTTTAGAAGTGCCATAAAAATATTGTTTCTAGGCCAACTAAACATGAAAAGGTGGTAGGTGTATAAGAAAATTGCAGGGAACATAAATAACTTTGAATTATTTATTGGTCATATGTCTTCAGAGCAGTCACATATTCACAAATATTCTTGATAAAAAGTGCAGCTTTATGGCTGAGGCTCAAATGGGTGACACAAATCACAGTAGGTACCAAATCTGCACAGCAATCTTGTCATAAACGATCTAATAGTTCCCTTCTTGATATAAATAGAGCTTCATAAATAGAGCTGAAACCCTATCAAGAGCTCACCAGTAGGAAACCTTGTGGGCAGAAGGAATGTTGTCCCACAGAAAGAAACTGCTGCAGTTGGCAAAGGTCACCTTCTGTATCCCAGTCCTGGGTACAGCCATTAAGAGAGAGTACTTCTGAACAGGAAATGATGCTACCAAAGGGAAGGGTGTGCACTAAAGCATTTTTCAGTTTCAGAGCTGTTACTTGCCTCTAGTCAGCTATTGCCTAGAATACTAGTAACACAAAGTATGTATGCCTTTTTTTCTTGTCAAAACATTAAATTTAACAGACACAAAATAGTTCTAAGCCTCCCAAACTAATTGAGCAACATTTTGGATCTTTGTGGTTCTGTTGCTTTCAGTACTGTAGGTCTTTTATGTTCTTTGTCAAAGAAAATGTAGTCAGCTTGGCACTGGATTCCAGAAAGCAGCTTGGATTGCTAGAAAATGATTGGTATTTTAAGCATTAAAAATTTAGAATCTTAAAAATGGTTTGAATATTTTAAGCTCTTGCATATTAAGACTCTGATCCCTGGAGTCTGATGTCTTCCATCTGGAGATGAGATTTGGAGATGAAGCTCTGTATGGAGGATTTTCTAGAAAGTTGCATTCATTTAGGAATTCATTTAGGAATGATGAAGACATGTGAAAACAGATCTTATGCTTTCAGTCTGTAAAAAAGGCACAAGGATGCTAAAGGCATATGATGGAGCACTACTAAAAATGACTGGTGAATATTTATCCCCTACAACAGTGTCCTGGGGGGAGAATGGGGGAGTGAGAGAGCAGCTGCATGGTTTTGAGCTACTGGCTGGGCTTAAACCACAACAAACAGAAATTACATAGCACCAAAATCTGGTATCTCCAGTTACGCTGATTAGCACCACTACAAAAAATAGTGAGATGATTTGTAGCAGAAAGTGCTATTAATATAAGTACATAAAATATGTTTCCCAGAGGAAATGCTAATTAACAACATGTTCTATCTAAATTCTCAGCCCTCTTTCAATTGTGACTCTCTTAGATCAGGGGTCAGCTCTAATTCTTTGCTTTTCTTGCCTTCAGATGATTCTTGAAATGTTTATTGTCTCTGTCCTACTCAAAATGTATTGCAGAAGACCCCATATGAAATAAAGAATTGTATTAAGTCATAGATACATTCTGTAAACTGATGGAATAGTTTTATAAAAGGAAATGCTATCAGCTGTGAAATTGTATCTTTGCAGTCTAATTTACTGAGTGTATTTTGTGTACTTAGGGAGGGCTTTGGTTTAGTCAGTTATTTAAAGTTGAAACTATTTGGTAGCGTAGCTGGAACTGTAAGACCTAAAACTTTTAGGCGTGTCTTGACCGCAAAGCAGCCACTTCGTTCTCTGATTTGCCCCAAATAAGTATACAGCTGCTGTTCTGTATTGCTTAGTGAATTATAAATCCAGAAATGATCTGTTGTGCCACAGGTGCTGCTGCAAGTATTGAGTGGTGAATTCAGAGAGGTCAACCTGACTACATTGTAAAATCAAGGAAAATTATTCTATTATATTGATGGGCTCTGCCTATGGAAGGGATGCTCAGTAATAAAAAATAAAACAAACAAAGAAAAAACCCAAAACCAAAAAACCCACCCCCAGCTTGATATGGAGTAAAAGTTTAGTAGTCAAATGTAAGCCATAGTCATTAACTGACTTTATATTATATACTTAATATAAAGTTAAGATACTTCATATGAAGTAAGTTAACCTTAAGGCAAGGAAAGTTGACTTTGCTAAGACCAGTTAGAGTTCCAGTTTGCTCTCCAGTTTAGCAACATCTTTCAGGTATGGAGAAAACAAGAGGAAAGCATCCTATTCCTAATGTAGCTATTTCAGGAACAAATATGAAGTGATTCATTCTCACTGGGAAAATTTTCTACTCAATATACCCCCAAACCCCATGATTTTTTAAAAGCATCATAACACAACATATGCTCATTATGCTAACTGTGGTTTCTGGTCTAAATCTTTCCAGAACCCAGGCTTCCCTGCAGCTCAAAGAGTATTTAGTTCTATTTTTCATTTTGCATTGTTCTGTACTAGGGCTATAATTTCTTTTTCTAAATATGTTTCTTCTTTAACACTAACTTTTAACCCTTTCAACCATCTAAAATACATACTAATTTACCTGATAATTTTTATATATATGCTGTATTTCAACAGTACTTCCTGCCAAGCCAATTATTTGATCTAAAACCAAAATTACAGAGTTTAACACTAGAAAGAACCATAATTAAAAGTAAAGTGCCTCTACTCTTCTTTTCCTCAGAGAGCAATTCAAGAAACATGCTGCATGACTTGCCATTTCTGCTACCTGTGCCTGAGACAAAAGGGGCTTATCACAGCTCATTAACAAGCAGTATGTCAGGAAATTTGAAACGGTATTTAGTTTTTAACTATTAGGGGCTAATCGTTGACCTAGTATAAGAAAAAGGTGGGTTTATTGCCCTAAATTTGTATCGGAGTTGGATTAAGCAAATCCTGAAAATAAATGCAGTAGGAAATTATTTTCAAAGATTGATAAATGAACAGAACTAATAAAAAGTTATGCTTTATTGGCCACCCATTATGATATAGAGTGGAGGGGTAGGAATAAAAGGCTTTTGTTGGTTCCTCACTGAATGCTTGACTGACATATCTCACAACACCTGCCCCAGTCCCTACTATCTATGTGTAAGTTTGGTTACCTCTGTCTCTCCTTGAGGTTGGAGCTACGGATACTACTTAGGTCCTTTGCTGGTTCTTATAAGGATTATCCTGCACTTTCTATATTAGAAAACTATTTAACAGGTCCCTTTTTCTTTCCAGTTCTTCTGTGCTTCCTTGACCAAATAACAGTGGACAGGGTTAAGTGCTTTCCTAGCTTTTACAAAAAGGAAATCTAGGCAATATGTATTTATACAACAAATTGCAAGTTAGGCTGGTAGCTTTTGCTTGAAACAGAAAGAGGGATTAACAGCTTGTGTCAGTTTTACCATGCGGATGATTCCGTTTCTTTCCTCTCTCATCTGTTAAGATCATTTTAGGATGAAAGCTCAGCATGATGAAGAATGTTTCTTTCTATGGACTTCTATAGTGATATCATACTAAAGGTCTCCATGACAAGCAGAAGTGCTATTGCAATAGAAAGTATGCAGTCATGTTTCCAGTTACATCTTAATTGGTTACTTTTTACATCTTCAGTTATGCTTAAGGAAAATATCATTTATTCATAAAATCTGTTTCTTCCTGTATCTTTTTTTTTTCCTATAGGTTTTCCCAGCCTGTGAATATAGCACAAACAACTTTTTATCTTTAGAAAGAAGATTTCTTTCCGTTTGCTAAGTCTAAGAGCTTCCTTTTGCCCAGTGACCTATTTGCCATACTATCATGCACCACATAATATTGCACAGAGAAGGATCAGAAACAATCTAAAACAAATAAAAAAAAAATTTCATATCCGAAATTACAAGAAGGTCACATATTCCTTAAAATAACTTCACTGAATGAAGTGGGATCTCCCTCAGGTGATGAATAATTATAGGACTACACGGTGATTTCATCAGCTTCTAATTAAGAAAAATAAAGCAGGCCAGGAAAAAATATTCAGAAGTTCAAGGTTATTTTTAAGAGGGGAAGAAGGTTACTTTTTCCTGACGTTATATAGAAAATGGCAGGTCACTACGTTAGAAAACTTGGAGCTTTCAGAGAAGTGGATTGAACTAAACAATTTCTGTTCCCACACAACTTTTTAACTACATAGTTTTCCTAAAAGTGTTGGAAGAAAGACGAAAGGACTGAACTACAATTTTCCCCAGAATGTAAGTGTTTGAGCTAGAAGTCAGATGTGAAAGTTCAAGTATAGCGCCTGACACCTACACCTTCTCTTGACAAGTTATATGTTTGTAAAGGCTTTCTCATAAAACAGCTTCTCACACAGTAAGTAGATGAGCTATAAAAATAAAAACAAATAAAAGAAGTTTGGGATGTGCGCTAAGTCAACAAAAGCAAATACGAAGTAGAGAAGGTTTGCAGACAATTAAGGGAGAGCAAAAAGACACGATAGTGCAGGAAGACTTTAGGACTAGTAAAAGCAGCCAGCTGTAGCAGTAGCTTGAGGCAAATTATATAGAGAACCTCTAGATGAAAATTTCCCACAACAAACTCACTGTCAGATGTGTTTAAAACACTGATCAGTAAGCAACACAAATGCACAGAAGGTGCAATGAAATAACATAGATGAGTTCTCTGTACATCTTTCTGCATAAAGAAATCTGTCTCCCTGGAATTAATTCCTGACAATATTTGCAAATGTTTAGAGATTTAAGACTTCAGAAACATGGATTTCACAGAAATACACATATTAAACTTTCTATTCATATGTGTATAAGAACTGCAAAACAAAAAAGTTACTAGTGGCAGCGTTAC